TTTTTAGAAGACTTTTTTTTTTTTTTTTTTTAGGTTTTTGTTATAGGGTGCATGCGCTTCCCAGAAAGACAGAGAGAGACAGAGAGACAGAAAGCGAGAAATCACCCCCCAGGGGGGAATGGCCACACCTCAATCCCTTCTCCTCCATTCTCCTCTTGGGATCTTGGGCACACAGGTACACGTGCCTGGCGTGAGTTTAAACAACCAGGTCCAGGACTCAAACTGGGGTCGACTACATGGGAGTCCAGCGACATAACCATTATGCCAACTGCTGGTCCCTTTAGAAGAGTTTTTAAGACCGTCAATTGTCTATTTCTTTGTTGGACCATGCTTTAAATATCCAGGTTAAGGGCCATGCTTTAAATGTCAGGGTTAAGAGTCCTGCTTTTTCTGATGCACACGAAATGCCATTCTGTTGTCAGAGGCATCCCTGGAAGTGCTACCTGCCTTCTTAAGAAGTTCCCTTTCAGGATGTCAGGATTTTGTGTCAACAGTCATTCAAAGATTGTTCTTTTTTTTTTTTTGACAACTTTTCATTTATAATTTTCATTATAAACGGGGAGAATTTGCCACTGGGTAGGTCAAGTTTCTGATATACACTATTTCACTTGATCTTGACCACAACCCAGTTAGGTTGCTCTCTGGATCCACACCTGTAAGAGGAGACTGAACTTGGCGAGTTTAAATATGTTACTCAAAACCACAAAGCCAAAATAGTTCATACCGTGTATTTAGATATGGGCTGTATGACTCTGAAGCTCAAGCTTTTAGCCTCTTCCCTAAACTCTTTATTTGCTGCCATCAAATTGTTAAGGTGTCAATGAACAGCAATGGCTTAAAACAAAAGTATGATCAATCCTCTTCTGAGGCTTATACTTCCCTTCCCCTCACTCTAAGGTGTTTAGTAGCAGGGTTCCAGAACTTTCTCCTTCCCCAGTTGAGTCTCATCACCCCACTTCTCTCCTTTCCTGTGATTGTCAAGGAAAGAAGGACATGGAAGTGGGGGTCGGGGGGGGGTAGGGACAGAGACTGAAAGAGAAAAGGCCACTAACTGGACACAATAAACTAGAATTTCACAGCAAGTGATCAGATATAGATGCAAACTTGACTTCACAGCTACAGTTCACATTACTGGGATATCAAACTGATAAGAAATCCCACCCATACACACAAGGGTGAACTAAGCAGGAAGAACAAAGCCAAATATTTTATTTGCCTTCAGATTTCCAATCGTCTGAGTCAGAGCGGTTACCTCTGTATTTTCCATGGAATTGCAAGGTCCATCTTGCAATTGCTATGTGCCCAGAACCATCTGCAGAGAGCAAATTTGCAACAAAAATGGCTTTGGAAAAAATATTGACAACATATTTATCATTTACTTTAGAACACCCTATTTTAAAAATAAACCCCTCTTGTACATTCAACATAGACTATAAAAGACTGCATGAAAAAAATGTTATTCTCATATGTGACGTTTGTAAGGGAAACATGGATCAGCAACATGTCAGATAATCTACACTGAGAGATATTTATTAGGTAGAAACAATAGTTTCTGAGGAATGGCCTTTAAAGCAAAAACCAATACTTTGTCATGCCTTGTGGGTACTCATGTTTTCATAGCCTATTAACAGCATAAATTTTTCTTCCGGTGACTTATATACAGAGATTTTATTCTCCCTTACTATATTTCATTTGCATGATCTATTTTACTTGTGGAAGCTCTAGTAGTATGTATATATATGTAAATGTACACACACACACACACACACACACATTTGTATCTATTTAACTTCCTAAATCTTTTTTAAGGCTCTGGTTTTAAGTATTTTCATAGGAAAATGTAAAAATTTCAACAGCATGTACATCTATTCTGGGATATAATATGTGAGAAATGGAGATGACTAGAGGCAGACATGAGAAATCATCAGAAGGAAACACGAAGACCCTCCTCTTGGCATATGTCTTTTTCTCATCTAATGGGTACATAATGGGGTTCATGTAACTCCCACCAATTTGATCTGAGGTGGTAGATTCGATTATTTGGATCCATGACATCTGTTTTTGTGAAACATTGCCTTTGGATGTCTGCTACCTATTTGTAACTTGTTAGATTGATGAAAGAATGCAAATGTTTTAGTAGTGACTGCTAATCCACTTAGACTTGGGAATCAGCCTAAGGGAAGCCAGCCCTGCACTTTTAATGTATCTTCATAGATAACCACAATGCACTTGATTCATTTAATCGATGCTGACAAAGTTCAAGGTGGAGGGCTTTTCGGCATGGGCCATCTGACTTGATCATCTGCACAGAGCAAACAAAATGAGTGATTGCAATCTCTACTATGTTTTCTAGCAGAGGAAACCAGTCAGAGTGGACAGCTGTCCCAGAAAACCAGTTTAGTAGACTGACTTTTTACAAAGGAAATCCTCACCTTTAGCAGAGATCAAAAGGAACAAACTATTGATGATGATGTTACATAAACACATTCTTCAGGGACATATTTCTGGGCCATTGTTAATATTTCATGTCCAAATAACTACACAGGATGAAAAAGCAGATCACATATTCTGAGTCTTTCCATCTTGAGATTAAGCTTATTGGGTCTACATCTTTTAAAGAAAGTATAAACTGTCTTGGCCATCGACGAAATCATCTGTCATTTTTTCATACCAATTCGAATATTTTGAGTTGAGTTAAAAAATAAATACTATGTACAAGGAGCATGCATGATGGAGAAACTACTGAGAAATGAAAAGTCCATTTTAATGCTAGACATCTTGCATGAATGAAGTGATGAGCTCATTGGCCAATTGTTAACCTCTTGTGAGCATGTAGGTGAGAGCATGGGAATCATACAGGTAAAACTGCTGAGTCAACCACTGAAAGACCAAAACTGAACAATCCTTTTATAATTCTTAGGAAGTACTTGCCATGCACAAGAATCACCCTTTCGCAAATGACTGCACTGTGTTTTAGCTTACATTTCACGTTAATCTTTTCCTTTAACAATTATGGAGCCAGCTGGAATAGAATACCAATTTAAAGAATTCCAAACCATGAAATGGAAGCAGAAATGATGTCTTATCTAGATAATAATTTAAAAGTGGACATTAGGTGGTCAAAAATAGAATAAGTAATCCCTTACAAAAGACTAGAAAGACTTGGACTTTTATCGGAGGTAGCATTTACTTTATGTGTTACTATAGTGAATTGAACAATCAATGATTTTTCTTTGATGAGGTCATAAATATCTGCTTAAAAATGAAATATTACATACATAAGGGTCATTTTCACTGATGACCCCATTACACATACCATGGTGTGTTTTGGTCCCACTGAACATCTTCCATGTGATTATATACACAAGCTGGACTTAACAGTGTGTTAGATTTCTTTCCTTCTGAGTGCTTGATTTAGTGTGGGTATCCTTCTCATGTGCAGAGGCGAATGGCCGGAGGACAGAATTTTGATGACTCAGAAGCAGGAACTTTCCTTAGGAAACTAGAGAGCCTCCTACACATTCTGACAGCAACCTGCTTCAGTATAGGTGGCGGTGTCTAAGTTGGGTGTGGGTCTGAATAACATGGATACAGTTAGGGCAATGGAGCAGTTTCTGCTTCCAGATTTTCCAGCTGAAAGAAAGAGCAAAGACAGTGAGCGTTTCAGACCTGATTGCAGCACACAATATTGAGCATCTTTTATGCATAAGAATCATATTGAAGACCTTCATGTATATTTTAACTTGTAATCTTCATGGTTTTTTCCGTAAATGTCAAGATGTTGGTTAATCTCTTCAATCATCATGAATAATGTCTTGCATCATCATGAACGTACATACTCTTATTTATATTTGTGTACACCACTGAAGAATTGCATATTAGGTATCATAGAGATATGATTGATGTTTTCCTTGCAAAAATGCACCTCAATTCTCTCTCTCTCTCTCTCCCCGCTTTGCTGAACTTTGCCAGGTGGTCCCACAGACCAGGTTGCTCTCTCAGAACTTTGACTGCCTAACCCTGCATTTCTGAGTCTTTATGTGAAATTCTTTAAGCAGAAAATGCATGAGGGTGGGGTAAGATCTCTTTATTCCCAGGAGGGAAACACACTCTATAGAGGGCACAATAGAGGTAGGGAAGAGCTGTGGGAATGGGGACAAACATTAACTTTTATGCTTTTTTGTTTTATTTTATTTTATTTTTTTTGGTTTTGCTATAAGGTGCTTGGGCTCACAGGAGAGAAAGGGGGGGGGGAGAGGGAGAAAGAGAGAGAGAGAGAGAGGGAGAGAGAGAGAGGAGAGAGATCATCCCTTTTCTCCTCTTGAGCTTTTAGACATGCACATATATGTTGCCCAGTGTGTTTTCCAAACTGCTGGGTCTGGAACTCAACCTGTGTAGTTGGCCATGTGGGATCCAGCTGCCTTAACCACCACGCCACTTGTTGGCCTTCATGTCTCTTTTTCACATTTATGCTCAAGTACTATTAGAACCAAGTTCTCTTGAAGAGCAAACACTACACTTATATCCAGATTAGAAATGGCAAGATGGGAAAGGAGGCAAGAATAATTACGGGGGCAGGAGGCATGGCAGCTCCCAAGGTTGAATATGTACTTCGCATTGATACTTTATGTGCTCTTTTGTGAATGCTCCTGATGCCCAAAGGAGATTTTCTTGACCTGGAAGAGCACTTACAGAGGGATGACATTCGAACACAATACATACACAACAGATCCCAGCTCAACTTTTGGTTCTCTTTCATGCTTTAAAATTTTTTCTTTAGAAAATTCTAGGATTATGAAAGGAAACCACGGCTTTGACTAGACTGAAACGCAATAGGGCTAATGAAAAATGCAATGATCTCAACCTATTAGCCCTGATGGACTGTGAGAAAAACTAATGGGATCTAGAGGCTTGTGGTGGATGATTGCCACTGGGTTCTGTTGGCGTTGCAGTCCCTGCTGTTCCAGACAGAGTGACTGTAAATTAATCAGTTGCCCAGGATAGCACTGTATGCCATAACTTTGGGCATGACTTTTCTCCATTCCTTTTACATTCAAAGATTAAAGCCCTTCTTCTGACTGAGCCTCCAGGACAGATTTACTGTGCTGTCTGGGGTTCTGGACTCAGCCTCTCTGGCACATGACTTACTTTGATGGGGAAAGAGCACCTTAGATCCTACAGGTGTTGGCAGGAAGGAGTAATTAATGTACTTTTTGTCTCTGAATTTTTGTCCCTCAGTCTTGCAAGACAATGGTCCCTAGAGATAAGGAGCAGCTCTGGCTGACTGCTCATTCCAGCACTGGCTCACTATCCCAGCCACATGCTGTGGGATCAGGAGGACTCTTGTCCTGCTTGGCCCCAAATGGTGCTGTTGTGCCTGGTCTTATCAAAGGCAGCTTCTGAAAATTCATCTCCCTTGTGATGCACATTCAGACAGGTAATGCTGGCTTTAGTTAACTTGTATCAATTCATCTGCTTCTCCTGAAACCTGAGTGCTCTCGAATTGTCATGTATGGTGAGCCAGGCTTCGACTACTTGGGGACCTTGCCCATATGGCCTTATCAAACAGACTTAATGTGATCCAAATCGGTTGTATTATTTGAAGCCAGAGGGTGGCACTCTGGGGTAGTGCAATGCTCTGTGAGGCATTCCACCGATGAATTCTGGTTTAGGAATCTGGGAGGGGTCCGGTTTAGATCTGGAGACCTCTATGAGTATGCTGGGCTCATGATCTGGGATGGCTGGAGGCTTGGGGTGGATTACAACATCAGAACCCTGCTGGTTGGCCCCCTCTCTCTCTCTTACTCATGAAAGAAACAGGTGATAGGTGAATTATTGGGAGAGATGGTCCACTGAGTGTCCTTGCTGGTTCTTGCTGATTTGAGATGAACAGCAAGGCCCATCTTCTCTCTCTCTCTCTCTTTAGAGATTTTATTGGGTATGTGTACTCACTGGAGAGATAGAGACAGAGAGACAGAAAGTGAGATATCACCCCCCAATAGGGATGGGCACAGTGCAATCCCTTCTCCATTCTCCTCTCAGGATTTTGGGCATGCACACACATGCGTCTCACGTGAGTTTTAAGCCACTGGGTCTAGGACTCGAACCGCAGTTGACTATGTGGGAGTCCAGCAATGTAACCATTATGCCATCTGCTAGTCCCAGCAAAGTCCATTTTCTAACCCTAAATTATTTCTATAACTAGTCACCTAGGCAGTTAGAACTTCCACACTGCCTGATCACATAAGGATCTCAGCATGACCACTTTGTGACTTGCTCCTGGGGGAGAAAGATTGGTTAGTTTACTGCTTGTGGCAAAAGATTCTGAACCCTCAGCTCTCGGCTCCTCGGCCACAGTGCAGCGCAGTGTAGTATAAGTGCAGTGGTAATCTGGGTTCGTAGTGCTGTGTATGAGACATGGGGCAGGGGACCCAGCCCCACCATGCTGATGCTCCTGTTGGTTGCTGTGCTGTGAGTAATCAAGAGTTTTCTGTCCATAGATTCACACTATTTTGGGCACCCATAGAGTTGTGACAAGCTGGCCTGATTGCCTGCTAAGATATATCCTTTGGGATATTGGAATTCCCTGCCACCTTTCTAAAGCTTGGCTTCTTTCCTAAGAAAAAACTATGGTATAGTTGCACATTTCAGTATATTGGACATTTGGCATTAGATGTAAGAATTTGATATGTGTATCTGATACGTAGATATATCAATAATTTTCTTCTATAAGTTTTTCATTTTTGTCAATAATTTTTAAACTGTAATTTTCCAGGAGAGAACTTGAAAATCCTCTTCAGCTACTTTTGGGCCCATTAAAAAAATAAGATGTTTGAAAAGCTCTTAGGGTTTTATTGAAAACACTTTTAATCTCTCTCTCTACAAAGATTGGTGTGTATTTCCTGCAGTTTTGGAGTTGGAGGGAATTTGAGAGGTTATCTTTTCAATTCTTTCCATCTATGACAGGAGATGGAAGCCCTGAGAGGAGAAGTGACAAGCCCAAGTGTGGAGGGTGAGGGAAACAGGTTTTTAATACGTGTGCCTTACCACCACTTCCCTCCACTTTGTGTTCTTCCTCCTGTTTGAGATGCCATCCAAAGTTGTAATGGGTGTCAGTAACAGAGCAGGGTCCTTTCGGAGCTGACCAGAGTTTCAGCCAGTAATAGGCTTCAAACATCTCATTACAGAGCTTGCAAACACAGCCACACACAGCACCCTTGGAACTAATGACTCAGAGGCAAAGAGTCCCATGAACCTAAGTTACAGAGAGTACCCCCCACCCCCTTCAAAAAATCTCAGTGCCCCTCTGATCAAACACCTTGGGATCTAGAGCACAGGGGGCCCAACCTTGATAAAGAAGAATCTTAGGAGAGGTGGAATGATATGGTAGTTTAAAGGATCCAGACCTGATTTGCTATATGCTTCTTTCTGCTTTTAATGAGGATTTGTTTTGTTCAACATAATAAATAATTCATTCTCATGAAAGAAAATGATTACTTTTTGGTGGTTACTTTTGTTATCCACTAAACGAAGCAGGCCTCCAAATCTGAATGAGATGATAAATCTAACCCTGGGATTAATCCTAATTCTTGGGTAGTCAATAGAGGCCGGGAGGGCCAGTTGTGGCATGGTAGCTAAGGTGACTGTATCCTATATGGCCAACTGCATGGGCTGACTCTCAAACTGGTGACCTGAGAAACACACAGGGCACATGAGCCTATGTGCCCAAAATCCTGAAAGGAGAGAGCTGCAAGAGAAGAGATTGCAGTGTGACCATTCCCCACTGGAAAAAGGGGTGCTTTCTCACTTTCCCTCTCTCTCTCTTTCTCTCTGTCTCTCATCCATGAGCACAAGTGCCCTATGGCAATACATATTATTTTTTAAGTAAAGGCTGAGAAAATCCTGCCTGCAAAGAGGTCTTTCAGGCAACTACAGTGTGAGCCATCAAAGTCACACAGGTAGTCATGGGTAGGGCTAGCAGCAGAGCCCAGGTTCCCCTGCTTCCAATCTGGTGTTCTACCCCAGGAAGATACTGTAATCTTCAACCATTGCTAGGCTTCTCACAGCTGAGTGTAGATGACTTTTAAAAGAAATCTATTTTCTGCAAAGTTATTTCATTCAAAACAAAAGAACGTTTCAATTACAATGCTTATTCTTAGCAATGTGTAGTTTAATTCAATAAAAACATATCTCAAAGCCACATGGACTTTTTTCTTTATAACTATATCCATAAAGTGACAAGCTTCAAAACAAAGCATAACAAAAGTGACATCCTAAGCAAAACAAATCCTGTTTTGTTTTCAGAAAGTTTTCATATCTCCTTTGTATACTGAAGTATAAAGACCACATATTTTAAATGAATGAGGAGAATAACAGTTTAAGAATCAATTTTTGGGATTCTGGTTAATGCCTGAATTTATGAGATATAGCCATTTAGCCCAGTGAAACATTTAATTTTAAATTCATGGCTAACCGAGACTGATGCTCTATAGTAGTTTTATTTTTAGATAAATTTTAAATTGAATTAATTATTATTATTATTTAACTTGACCAGAGAAAGACAGAGAGAGAGGATGAAAGTGAGAAAGCAAAACACTAGGTCCGGCATTTGAACCGTGGTCTATCACATGGTA